GTCTCGGTCAACGGGTCTTCCTTCCTACCCCTCAACGTCGCGCCGCCCGCTTCATTCCACACTACACCGTCCGCGATCATCACGAACGCGCTTTGGTTCTCAAGCTTGCTCCTGTCCCTCTTCTGCGCTCTACTCTCGACACTCGCACAACAATGGTCACGCGACTACGTTCACGACATCAACAGGCGCAGAGTCCTTCACGAGGACCTCGAAACCCGCGTCTACAACCATATCTTCATCCGCATGGGCATCAACCGCTACGGGATGGACCAGCTCGTATCGTGGATTGTGGCCTTAGTACATCTTGCGGTGTTCCTCTTCGCCGTAGGGCTCGCAGTCTTTCTATTCCCCATCAACACCGCCGTTGCGGCCATAGCCCTGGGCGTTCTCGGGATGTTCGCCATGCTATACTGTCTAGCAAGTCTACTCCCATTGATCGACAAGAGCTGCCCGTATCGCACGCCTTTCACGTATGTGATGGCCTACACCTACTGGATCGGACTTCATGCGTGGTCGACATGTGAGACGATTTGGACGCAGACCTGTCCCTCCACGACACCCCAAAGCCCCCGCACCTTAGCCCTACCGCGCGCGCCTACAGTTGACATACACGATATCACGTCGCGGCGCATTCAGGACGGGCACCAGTTCCTCGCCTCAGATGAGACCATCTTCCTTTGGGACTGCTCTGGCCGTCACGTCCCCGACGAATCCTTCGAGCGCATGGTCAAAGGCCTCCTCGCGTTGCCCTGCGGGCCGGCCGATCAGCACATCTATAACCACCTGTGCGCCGACGATGCCTTCGCGAAAAGGCTATACTGGCATATGAGAAGCCGCATGAAAGACGTCATCGATCCCTCGCTCTTCACACTGCTGTCTCTTCTATCCGAACGAATGTTCCGCTCTGAAGTTGAGCGTGCTGGTTCAGCGTCGAGAGCGAGTCGCACGTCGGGGTACTACATGAACATCCTCGGCTTGGTCTCACGGCTCGCGGCGGTGGACGGAGAAGCCAAATTGCGCGCCCGGCTGTGCGTCGCCAACGTCCGATGGTCATTCCTGAATCTCTACCGACACGCATCGCAAAAGGCCGTTACTGCACCGCTATCCGAAGACCAGGCGCTCTCTTCCTTCGATAACACCTCCAGCGGGGAGTTCGCGCTCAGCAACCGCCATCCCAACGTCCTCCATGTCCTGCTATCCCTCGGCCACTACTCGTTCGCGCTGAACAGCTGGTTATGTCGAGCCGAATCTGTCCTCCTACCGCTACACGCCGAGAGCTGCTGTACGTCATGGAAGCACACTCTTGCCCCGGAGAACATCACGCATCTTGCAGCATGCAGTGCATTGACTATGGTCTCGCACGTCCTGGAAGCCTTGAGCGCCGACGACCCGAAAGACGCCGCTCTTCTACGAGACGCGCCCAACTCCATCATGACGAACATCGATAGCGCCTACCCAATGCCACGGAACGAGCGCAGAACTCCCTCCCCACAGTTCATATCCATCCTCAAAGATGCAGGGCTGGAAGAGTGGTTGAAACCAGGCAGCGACTACTCATCGGAGCCGCG